ACAAAATCCATCATTTCTTTCTTGAGTTATCGCCCTAACAAGCTTATATGATGTATGACATGCAACGAAAAACAAACACACGTGTATTTACGAGTGATTAAAACTGTTATTACAATTTACGAAGATATTTATTACATTTTACCGCAACGAAAATTATTACAATTTACGTCAATTTTTATTACAATTTACGTTTTTATTACAATTTACGTCAAGTTTATTACAATTTGCTGCAAGTATTACAATTTACGATTTTATTACAATTTACGTCGTAACAGAGCCTAAAAGCCCTATCCAAATAGTCGCCTCTTACGACATGCATGGGTTAAAAAACACTGGCCACCAGGACCAGTGCAAACTTAACATTTAGAGGTCCTGGTGAATATTTACTAGTCAGGGACCACAGGACCAGCATAAATTTCGCACACTGAATATACAACAGTCAAATCCAATTTATCTCGAATCTGCTGAGATCTGATGGGGGTTTTTTTGTAGCAAAGAAATAACCAAAAAATGGGTATGAAGACATCCAGACAAATCAGATGTGAGTGAGTAAGTGAGTTTAGTTTTACGCCTTTTTTAGCAATGTTCCAGCAATATCACGGTACACCAGAAATGGACTTCACACATTGTACTCTTGCGGAGAATCGAACCGAGATCTTCGGCGTAACGATCAAACGATTTAACCATTAGGCTACCCCAATCTCAGATGTGTGAGAAAGGTGTTTGTTGTCTTGGAGAATTGCTTTGCACCGAAATATATGCGCGTCTCTAAACTGTCTATGTGCAGCTCCATCTTAAATATACAGCTACAAATTCTAAGTAAAGTTGGGACAGAGTCCAAGGTTCGAGATAGGTCTATGTATTTTCAGCTCGAATTCGAGATAAGTGGGCAGATATGTATTTTATGTATTGAGGCAGGGGGATTGAGTTCGAGAAAAATTCGAGACGAACTTAGACAAACTATTCATTATGTAAATAAGCGGACAGGGGAAGTATGCACTTAAAAGCTTGATATACCACACACACACACACACACACACACAGAAACCACCACCACCACCACCTCCACCCCGACAAAAGTTATTTAAAAACGTTTTCGTCTGACAACAATGTAAAAATGAGTCCAAAGTTCAACATTGATACCCGTATGCATTCCTATGGGATAATCGCTTATTGCTTGTTTTCTAGCAACCGTCAACTATCAGTGTGTACTAGTGGTGGTCCGATTAATTGAAATAATCGAAGATTGGTCGTAGTGACTAAACGACCAAGCAATCGATCATAATTTCTCATAATCGAACACAAACAATTCTGGAACACTTGTTTTCATTAACAATATTTTTCACATGGTTGGTTTTGTCTGTTACATTTCTTAAGCACTACAAGCTCGTTTCAAGTCATGATTGAATTTATCTTAAAGATTCCAAGAAATTTTTGTTCCTAACATACTAGTCGTCCTTTAAAGATGTGAAATTTTGCCAAAACACCCAAGAACTACATTTTTTTCCCTTAATCTAATGTGCATTAACAAATTTCATAAATGACGCTAACCAATTATTTTCGATGATTGATCGGTAGTAATGAACCAATCATCAATTATGAGATTTTAACCAATTCCCAGCACTAGTGTGTACTCTCTTTTGCCCGTCAGTTTATAACTTTGATTTAAAAAAACCCCCAATTATTTCTGTTTCGTAACCTTTTTCCCCATGACATATTTTTCTCATTCAAATTTAGAATAAAATCCGCCTTTTAGTTGCCCATGTGCAGTGAACTGAACTGTATTTACATTCTGTTCGCGTTCCTCTAATTGCAGCATTATAGGTACAAGTTTACATCATTATGTTCAACTTAAATACATGTATGAAACATAAAGTGGTCACAAATACATACCGTTTGTTTGCAAGAATAAACTGTACATACATTTAACCAGTTAAAGGAACAATGTTACACTCATGCGTTATTGGTTATCTTTTTGGGGGGCGTTGCTTAAAATGAGACATTATTATTTTGCAAAATAATGCTAATTTCCTAATTGTTCCTAGTTTGTTAGAGTGAAAAAGCTGGTTCACTTTGTGTATGTACGGATTTCTTCAGAATTAGTTGTTCATATATTTTACCTTTCTTGTGCCAAGGTAGGGCAAATAAACAAAAAATGAAATTCATCTCCAATATCGTTTGCATAACTGAGAGTACATATTGTTTCATTTGGGGGAGTGTCCATGGCCCGGCGTGATGCATGATTAATGACTTATACGGCCTTAGTGAAAGCGATACCGAATGGTGCGAAACACTCCCGTGACAGTGAGTCATCCACACATTCATCTCCTGAATAATATATTGCCACCGTAACATGTCTACAATTCGAAGGGGATGTAAACATCACGCAACTGAGGACCGACAGTGCAGATCTTTAACCATCGCTGTAGTGCATTCACTTTGTGGATGGGTGCAGTAAGTTTAACTTCATGCAGTAGACCATACGTTTCTTCTTTCTTCACTGAAGTACGAACGTATGATCTACTGCATGATGTTAAACTTACTGTACCCATCCACAACGTGAATGCACTACAGTCATGCTTAAAGAGATCATACGTTGGTACTTTCAGTAGTGGTGGTCCGATTAATTGAAATAATCGAAGATTGGTCGTAGTGACTAAACGACCAAGCAATCGATCATAATTTCTCATAATCGAACACAAACAGTTCTGGAACACTTGTTTTCATCAACAATATTTTTCACATGGTTGGTTTTGTCTGTTACATTCTGTAAGCACTACAAGCTCGTTTCAAGTCATGATTGAATTTATCTTCAAGATTCCAAGAAATTTATGTTCCTAACATACTAGTCATCATTTAAAGATGTGAAATTTTGCCAAAAAAACCCCAGAAGAACTACATTTTTTTCCCTTATTTAAATGTGCATTAACAAATTTCATAAATGACGCTAACCAATTATTTTCGATGATTGATCGGTAGTAATGAACCAATCATCAATTATGAGATTTTAACCAATTCCCTGCACTAACTTTCAGTGAAGAAAGGGTGCAAAATAAACGTTGTCCTTTTGCTGTGACAGGATCATACAATCCGTATTATTTACAGAAGGCTGTTATAAGGGTTCAATTCAATCTCTCTTTATTCTGGTGTATGTAGGCCATCGGCCCGCAATACAATATTACTTCATACAGCCAACAAACGGCTTGTACGCATCTCATTCGCCTAAAATAGATACATAGCTAGATTTCGTAGCACAGTGGAATTGTCTACAGACATCAAAGTATTAAATTTGCATAATGATGGATATGTATAATAGTTCACAGGTATATAAGATGTACATATTAGGAGAAAATGAAATCCATGTTCAATGTTAGCACCTGAACACCTATGACATAATCTGAGATTCCTTGGCTTATGAATATATCTACCCGTCTCAATATTTAACTGATGAGAGCTGCAACGAAACTGTGCAAGAGCAATGCGGATTTTTGTTTCCACATGCACATGCACTAGGCTGTTGTGTTTGGGCGTTTGAATCAGCTGGTGTGTTTCAGCACCCTTGTTTTTCTCTTTTTTTTCACAATGTTTCATTTAACTCAAACTCAACGAATATTGAATCAGTTGCTTCACTGCATGTTCCAACATGTCGTTTAAAATGCCCATTAAGCACACAAAAAGTTACACACACACACTCTCTCTCTCTCTCTCTCTCTCTCTCTCTCTCTCTCTCTCTCTCTCTCTCTCTCTCTCTCTCTCTCTCTCTCTCTCTCTCTCTCTCTCTCTCTCTCTCTCTCTCTCTCTCTCTCTCTCTCTCTCTCTCTCTCTCTCTCTCTCTCTCTCAACAACATGGCTGGCGTGTATTTCACATCTACAGTGCAACTAAAGTGTGCTATTTATGTTATACTAAACATGGCTGGCGTGTATTTCATTCTACAGTGCATAAAGTTATTTATGCTCTCTCTCTCTCTCTCTCTCCTCCCTCCCTCCTCTCTCTCTCTCTCTCTCTCTCAACAACATGGCTGGCGTGTATTTCACATCTACAGTGCAACTAAAGTGTGCTATTTATACTCTCTCTCTCTCTCTCTCTCTCTCTCTCTCTCTCTCTCTCTCTCTCTCTCTCTCTCTCTCAACATGGCTGGCGTGTATTTCACATCTACAGTGCAACTAAAGTGTGCTATTTATACTCTCTCTCTGTCTCTCTCTCTCTCTCTCTCTCTCTCTCTCTCTCTCTGTGTCAACAACATGGCTGGCGTGTATTTCATCATCTACAGTGCAACTAAAGTGTGCTATTTATACTCTCTCTCTCTCTCTCCTCTCCCTCCCTCCCTCTCTCTCTCTCTCTCTCTCTCTCTCTCTCTCTCTCTCTCTCTCTCTCTCTCTCTCTCTCTCTCTCTCTCTCTCTCTCTCTCTCAACAACATGGCTGGCGTGTATTTCACATCTACAGTGCAACTAAAGTGTGCTATTTATACTCTCTTTCTCCCTCCTCCCTCCCTCCCTCCCTCCCTCCCTCTCTCCCTCTCTCTCTCTCTCTCTCTCTCTCTCTCTCTCTCTCTCTCTCTCTCTCTCTCTCTCTCTCTCTCTCTCTCTCTCTCTCTCTCTCTCTCTCTCTCTCTCTCTCTCTCTCTCTCTCTCTCTCTCTCTCTCTCTCTCAACAACATGGCTGGCGTGTATTTCACATCTACAGTGCAACTAAAGTGTGCTATTTATATTATCCAGGATTCATGATTCTTAAACGTGAACACGTTTTAAGCAACCACTTTGTATTTACTTTGGTCTACACATTATTCACTTAACACCACCATTATTGAACATAGTTACGCATTACTACATTTAATCTGAACTAGTATTTATAAGCTGTATAATTACAAAACATTGAAACAAATAATAATTTGCTGAAAGACAATATCGATTCAAAAACATTAATTTCACATTGGTTGAAAAACAAAACCCAGAAATTTCACATGAATAGTTGTATGGCAAATGTATTATATGTTCGGCCTTCACCTTGTAGTGAGAAGGGGAACCTGGCAAAACTCCGCGGATAATAATTGCTATACACGTGTATATCGATATGAATTTCCACCAGTTAAGACGCATTTTAGTAAAGACAGGCTGCAGGGTACGATTCCTAGGAGGATCTCGCCCACGAACACTGAACGACGGTTACGCCTTCAGGCTCTCACAGCGGTATTCAGCGTTATCTCATTCGGCGCGCTCGTCCTTGTCGTCAAGACAACATGCTACTTGGGAAACGACTAATGTTAATACTAGCGGTATTCTGTCGGAAAACGTCAAAGGTTTGTAAAGGAAACCTTAATTTATTTTTAAGCTTGAAACTGCTTTATTTTCTTCGTTAATTTCTCTGCATATTTCTGTTCCACTCGCACTTTAATTAACTATGTATATGTATTTGTTTGCAAATTATATGTATATTCGTAAATCAAACTAAAAACTTCATAACAACAGTATATGTACTCATATATATTCCACTTAAAATTGCATACCTTCCTTACATGGTACATATCTGGCAATCAAACCAATTATGTCAGTAGTCCTGATAAGTATTATGTTATGGACGTCATGTCCATCATTAATAAGTAGCCCCGTTAATCATATTTAAGTATCCGTTACAATGTGGATCGTTCTACTGGAATAGTATAGTTCATCGTGAACGAAAATAGAGTGTCCTTACCCACAGATTATGGATCCCAAGTTGTTAGGTGTTTTATTTTATTTGTGTGTGTGTGTGTGTGTGTGTGTGTGTTTGTTTTTGTTTTTGTTTTGTTTTTTTGGTTGGTTGGTTTTGGGTGGTTGTTTTGTTGTTGTTTGTTTTGGTTTTTTTATGACGCATATTTTATATTGTCGAAATCAATGCGAGTTAATCGTAAAACGTACGTGACAAACGCGCACCTGGTCAATCATTACATCATTCTGCCTATAATACGACTTAAATAAATTCCATGACCATGCTAATTTCTATACAAATATGTGCATATACACTTTTTGAAACATATCAATCATTTTCTAAAATTAATATGGTCAGTTTTACTTACATGATTAAATTACATCACCGGTCATTAAATTGTTTATATAAAATTACAAACTTGAATATCGCTGTTCATTGGAACTAAAGTACATGTTACAGTTATGCCTACATTTCATCTTCTAACTCTTGTGTACAGGTTACAGATATGGTGTAATACGATACATGTATCAATTTCTCATGTAAAAGTAAATATTATAATATTATGTAAATATTCTTCAAACAAAAACCTTCAAAGGTTAAAAGAGCGTATAGCCAACATATCCATCTTTGATATGATATTGAACAACGCAAAATATCGATAATGAAATCTGTTTCGTAACGAAAATATCAAACGATGCGCAAAATATATACTGAAACTGTAAAGCAGGATAGGCTAATGTTGTGTTCACTCTTATTCAACTGACCTTCACCTCAAAGAAATTGCCAAATATGTACAACAATGTTGACGTATGACATCACTACCGTGACTGATAATATTTTCAAAATGGCGTTTTCGTTGAGGATTTTGAGTAGGGGCCTTCCCTGATTCAGGTATCGTTTTCACATATAATATAAATATGTGATGTAACTGATCAGAAACATCCTGACTAGCGTATTGTTATTTGTTTCTATGTTTTTAATTGTAACCAAAAGAAGTAGTCAGATGTGCCGATAAATACCCTTGTCTTGGACAATTTCGTTTCGAATTCACCAAATAATTAAAATATATCTGATCTTATTTTTATAATTTTTGCTATAAAAACTTCTTCCATTGTATATTTTAAAATGCAGAACCTATGTATGCAGAGAATAGTCAAATGATGTATGAAAATTTGAGAAAATGCCACACAGTGTAAAATCTGAATGTATCTTTCATTATTAATACGTTCCAAACAAGCACAGTCTTACGAACAGCGTTCGTGTTCACACCCATATTTAGTTTGATTTCATTTAGACACTTGGTAATGTTGACAAAGACCATTTGCTATTTTGGTAAAAATATTTATGAGAAATTCGGTCATTTATTTGGTCCAAATGAGTGGGAAATAAACGTGATGTGATAAGCGTCTCTTGACCGGCCTTCGCGAAAAGTGACTTGTAAACTCTGATAGTATCGCAGTATACGTGTTACGGTGTATTATATATAGGTTTATCGTTACAGATTTACCATTGGTGATTTCACGAAGAAAACTTATCTGTAATAACTGTGCTATTTTTTAAACTCTGGCCTCCTAATAATTGTCCGATATTCACATTTCAAAACACAAACCAAATAACGCCGTGACGCCGTAATGTGTCAAAAATGTCCACATTTTCGATTTATCCAATTTGTAGCTCTAGGTCATTTTCAGCACTTTTGTTTTGGCTAAGATGTTGACGGGTGGTTTCATGAAACAGGAAATTTCCCACAGAATTAAAATCTGTGAAGTGTATTTGTGTGACGATATATTTTGAATGATATTCGACTTCAAAGTGAAGGTTGATATATGTCCCTCTGTCATCCAGGGGGAACAACCACGTTAATCACATTTAAGTGACCATTTTAATCATAAAAATCATAAGTTACAATGACAATGGGATTGTGGGGGAGCTGGCTAAGGCGCCAGGTTAGTGATCCAGCGAGCTTGAGGTGACGGGATCGAGCCCTCCTGTGACCGGGTGTAAAAACCTTGGAGTCAACTTTGCGTGCAGACTCTCTCAGTGTTGTCACAACCCATAGTGTAAACGCAGTAATTGGAACAGTGATACAAATGCACGTGCAGTACGTGATGAGTGTTAACTTAGACCAACCCTACTCGTTCTCGGTGTTTCATTTAATGTGCATACCCCCTTGAAATACAAACCAATAATAGCTATTTGAAACTATGATCGTTTGTTAAACAACTTTTATCCTAAGTTGAATAAATTCTGAGATTTAAATGTTCAATTGGCAAGGTAAAATCATGAGGATTCGCACTTCTAATTTCACTTAATTGGTTTACGTTTTTGTTTAAAGTGAAATTCATCGGTGCGTTTTCACTGCAAACAGACTATAGTTGCGGGTACAGCAACGTGCAGTAAACTTTGACAAAATCCTGTGACTACGTGTCCCAGTCCACCCAGCTGTGAATGGGTACCTCGTAAGGATGGGAAAGCCACATTAACTCGGTGCGCCTAGTGGCTGCAAGAGTTGTATGATCCCAAGGGAGTTGAAATTGATGATACATTGTGCCGTTTGAGACTGACATCCAATGATCGAGTGAAAAACAAAGCGCCTGTGAGCCGGTGTTCTGGATATTGGCGCTATATAAATATATATATAAATAACAATCATATATAAGTGACAATGTCAATCATATCTTAATAGCTAATAAGTATGTTAATCACATCTAAGTACAATCTATATCTATCAAATGTCTATCAAATATATGTAACCGCGTCTATCATATACCCGAATCATATATAGAGAATACTACACGAGGTCTCATTACATACGAATTATACGAAACGAGTGTCCTTCCTATGTTATCTGACCGAGCGAAAGCGAGGTCAGATAACATAGGAAGGTCACGAGTTTCGTATAATTCGTATGTAATGAGACCGAGTGTGGTATTTTATTTATTACCCACGTCTTACATGCATTAAATTGACCAAATAAGCGTATTTTTGTTATTTTTTTGTTTCAAACCGAAACCGGTTTCATAAAGAGGTTGCGGAAGAGTTTGTACTGTAGTACAATATTTGCATGACGTCACGCTGTAATGACGTCACTGCCTTGGTAACCGACGTCAGGATGCATGTCAGTTGTCATCGCCTCGTACAGCCTCCTACAGTAAACTACTCCGTAGCTTCCCGTTTCTTGGTTTGAAGTTGCTTCATTCGGCTAACATCACTGGTGGAAACATTGCGTTTATGTTTTTCGACGGATATAATGTCTAAGTTCGACTCACAATTAAACAGCGACACGGCAACGTTCGCAATGTTTATATTCCCACAATGCATCTAAGTTGTAGAATGAATGAATTCACGTGTTTGTTATGAATGAAAAAGTAGTTCCGTCACAACGTGACCTAACTGAGAGGTCATCGGTTATCCAATCAAATCGTTAGAATCTCAGGTCAAGTCGTTACGACACAGGTCAACGCGATACGACACACGTGTGACGTACGAGATTAGTATGCAACTCCCATACGTTGACCACGTGGGTAATAAATCATAATATCACATAGCGAATACCCGATTTAAAGTTAAACATACAAACCATCACATGCTGATCCTACTGTTATTATTTATTAATATCCTGATTAGTTTTGTGTTAATAGTAATACCCGGGGCACATGTCAGTACATCACGTTATTTTTAATGATGTATATTGTGAGAAAACCATCAGAAAATTTTCACGAGACATAGGAGAGAGAGAGATTATTTATTCAAGTTTCACCCGATACAATACATAGTTAAAATACATAAAATACATGGCTTTTGTTATATCGGCCACCCACATGGTTTGTGGGAGAGATTTTACATAAAATATACTTAAAACAAACAATACTGAAACAGACATCACATTCGTCTCACGTACAGAACACATTCGCACTCTTTCCTACCAATATATACCACCCTTTGGATATGATAACATGTGTCAACCAAGTCAGCGATCCTGACCTCCCGATCCCGTTTGTCGGCTCTTACGACAAAGCATAGCTTACTGAAGACCAATTCTAACCCGAATCTTCACGGATTACTACTACTACTTATGAGTGAGTTAGAGAATTTAGTTTTACGACGCACTCAGCAATATTCCAGCTATATGGTGGCGGTCTGTGAATAATCTAGTCTGGGCCAGACAATCCAGTGATCAACAGCAGGAGCATCGATCTGCGCAATTGTTCTACTTATGACAGTGGTGGTGAAATATATAGTCATGTGTCTCTCACAATACTTGTTATACGGGCCATTATGATTCACTTGTGTATCGTATGCCTTCATGAATTCAATTCAATATTCACTCAATTCATCATTGACGATCACTAAGATGTTATAATCATTCATTCATATATGTTCATGATTTTTCCAAAAGGAGTGTTTTGCTTCAATTTAAGTGTAATTTATACATATCCACTCCGGTCAGTCTAAGTAAACTTAGGCTCAGTATTATTCGTTACACTGCTATACTGAGTCTAACAAAACCTTGTGGAAGGTCGCGTCAGCTGACCTTTTCAATGGACCAATCAGAACATAGCTTACCAAATCGCGAAAGTTGACATTCGCACATACCTTTTGAACTTTTACTTCGAAAAAGTTTTGTACCCGAACGATTCCGAATGCTATTTTCCGTACCATCGCTTCCTAGTGATGCACATGGAGCACGCCACAAGAGCGAGTAAACAGTCGCTGAGAATAGCGTTTTGTCAGTATTCAAGGATGTCAGCTTTCGGAAATATTAGCTAATGATAGCCATGTCAACAGAAACCCAAAAGCGTATATTCTGCAGGTCATATATTTGTGTTCTGTGCGGGTTTATCATTTGTTGTGAGATCAGTGTTGGCGACCGGGAAAGAGAAAATCCATTTTGTAAGTCCCGCCAAACCCTTAATAGTAGCCGTTGTCTGATTGGTTAAATCCGTTCGGCCGTCCCGCGTTTGATTGGACGGTAATAGCTCGCTCAAAGGTTACCTGGTGCGACTTTCCACAAGGTTTTGTTAGACTCAGTATAGCAGTGTAACGAATAATACTGAACCTAAGTTTACTTAGACTGCCACTCAGGTCAGAATAATAAACGGAAGGCTCCTCAACGTTGTCATGTCCTGAATAGGCAACTGCTCTCCTTACATGTGAGAGGTATTATTTATCGAATTCAGTGTGTAAGGTAGGTATCGCACAATCGTCGAAAGCACGGTTTAAGCGCGTGCGTGAGTACTTTTTACGCCGCCTTCAGCAATATTCCAGCAATATCACGGCGAGGGACAATAGAAATGAGCTTCACACGTTGTACACATGTGTGGAATCGACCGCGGGTCCTGGGCGTTCGAACCAACGGTTTTTACCACTAGGCTACCCCACCGCCCCCACGGTTTAAGATGTAAAACGGGAAATGAACTGAAACCAATGTTGATCATATTGTTTTAAAATGCCTGTGTTGATAAACTATTTTTGGATAGTTAATTTAGATGTAAATCGTGTATTTCCGCCGTGTTTATCCATAACATCAAACGTTCCTTTCGGTTAAAAGTTTCAGATTTACTGTCACTAGGTGCTTGTGGGCAGGGCTTTAGGTCGACTTTATAGGCGTCAAATATACTTCCAATCAAACGTTTAGACTCAATAGTGTAAATATAGCCACTTACTTCAGGCAACTGTTCTAAACTAAATTTTGAAAAATAGTCCATACTGTTTCAAGGTACTGTATACACATGAACTTATGTATTATAAAACAAATTCATAACGTTGAAAAGATTATTGTCATGAGTTCAATAAATGATAAAACTCAGTGAAAATTGGCGAATTCTTAACAAAACTTTGCACCAAAACGCAGCTGTTCACATGCACGATATTTGCACAATCTTTTCAGCAATTCGACGCATGATCCCCGTGCAAGCCATCTGCATAAGGTTTGCAGTTGGTTCCCCCAAGTTAGTGGAGAAATCAATCTTCGATATAACCATATATATATACTTAACATATAGTGGGTGTTCTAAGTGAGTCTAAACTTTTGATGGGTAGTATACTATTTTGGTTGGTTGGTTTTATAGTTCTAGGGCGACGTGGGCCAATAAGAGGCCTATTTGCGCCCAACACATTGACTTGATTTAATAAACAATCATACGTGATTTCATTGCCAAAAGGAATCGTTTAGCTAAGATAAAAGAAACGACAACACTATTAATTTGGATAGATGTATACATATATGGAATAACCTCTGCTTCGTGTTACGGATTAAAAACCTTAAGTAATCACTTCCATTTCTTAAACATGAAATACTCATTCAATAAAAAAGCAGTAGGTTCAGATGACAGAGTGTTAAAATGATTTAAAACCACATAACTAAATCTGTCTAAGCCATTCGAGAGCCTGTCTAGATTACATCATATTTTCCAGATGACGAGACAAAATCTAAAACTGCCCGTTGCACAGACCCATACATGATATTGGGGCCCAAAACTGTTTCTAATGAGAATACATCATCAACCTCAAGTACAGCACTTCTGAGATTATGTCTTATGTTGTTATGCCCAGGGCATGTAATTAGATAATGTTCGATGTTTTCAGGCGTCTCCAAATTGCAATGGCCACATTTAGAAGAGACCGTCTTATCTATAATACTCCTGTAGGCATTTAGCCCACAGTGTCCAAGTCTTAGGCGTGAAAGAATAACCTCATCACGCCTTTTACGACGACGAATTTTTATGACCAGATTTTAGTGATGGTCTAAGTTTGTACATATGTCGGCCGGTAGTACCTGTATCCCACAACTGTTGCCAACTCCTTGTAACAGATTTCGATAAAACATTTTCATAATCTTTAGGGATTGGTTGAAATTTAAATAAATCAACTTCAGGAAACTGTAACCCGGATTTGGCCAAATTATCTGCAATCTCATTCCCATGTATTCCAACATGAGCTGGGACCCACACAATGTCGCATGCAATGTACTTCATGTTTAAAGATGTATCCAACTTTAATATCTCATGCACAATGTCATCTCTAGATCCATTTGCACCAGCTTCTATAGCTTTGATTGCTGCCATAGAATCTGTAAAGATAATTGCTTCATGGTCATGTTCATCTACCCATCTCAATGCTTGCAAAATGGACAAAAGTTCAGCTGCAAAAACAGAAAGGGTAGTATACTATGGTACATGGAAGAGTAATCTCCCTTTGACTATCCGACTTGACGCATCCTGAATGTTTGGTGGCGAAGGAACACACGCCGTGTGTGTGTGTATGTGTGTGTCTGCGTGTTGTGGGTGTGTGCGTGCAGATAGAAATGACAATATTCGTGGACATCCGTGGCGTATGATTACACACTGTCAGGGTACGATTTCCTTGTTTTTTCTGTACCTGCACCGAATGCAACCTGGCCTATAGGTTTGGCTGCACCATCAAAATTTGGGTTGCGCCATAAAATAATGTCACTGGATCTAAAAAGTAACATAAATATTTGTTTAGCAATTTTCAGAACAAGTAGTCAGTATCAGAAACATTCAACAGAACCTGACCCCATGATGATAAATGATGCATGATTCTGTTTCAATTTTACCATAAATATATTTATAAATCTCAATGATATGAACACTTCTACGTAACTGATTTATGAGTTCACAAATGCCGTTGCTCCTAACAAGTCATGCGAATTACTTCCAGTCACTTACTCCCCAATTAAAACACACGATGACAGCTATTAATTGTTGGAAGATTTATTGTTACCTGCACCGAGTGCAGGCTGTTACTGAAGCTAGCCTATACAAGCCATTTAAAATTTTAACAGGTGCCAGGGCAGGTTGTAAATAGTGAAATCGAACCTTGACTGTGGCGTCACTTAAATCAGGGTTTCTGTTTGGTTTAATCTCGTAACTTGACACGGGGCTTAGGAACTGCCCAGTGGTTGTTATGTACAACGGCTCCCTAGACACACCCACCCAAACCCCAACCCCCCCACCCCCGTTCATAGTTGTCAAGGTGCAAACATGAAATACTTCAAATAGCCAAGATAAATCAGTCTTGCGACTTTATTTTTAGGCAAAACAGCATACCCCACCATGAGTGTGATCGTAGTGCTGTGTTGGTCGCACCTAAGCTGTCGTAGCGGGCTGGTTGCTATGCACACAGAACCCCATGCTGCTTGTTACTTGTGCTGGTGTGAACATCAAATGCTTGAAAAATCCAAGACGTTGCGCAGGGGTTATTTTATGCAAAAAAGCCTCTCATAACACATGTGGGCGGCTGGTATATGAAATAAACACCATTATGTATTTTACTACTGAATATATCGAGTGAGACTTAAATGCGTAATAAATAATCTCTCTCTCTCTCTCTCTCTCTCTCTCTCTCTCTCTCTCTCTCTCTCTCTCTCTCTCTCTCTCTCTCTCTCTCTCTCTCTCTCTCTCTCTCTCTCTCTCTCTCTCTCTCTCTCTCTCTCTCTCTCTCTCTCTCTCTTGTGGGAGTGGGAGTTTAAGCACGCATTTGGTCACATACATATTCTTGCAGGAACAAGAACACGAATGTTTTTGTCCTCTGTGGTAACTTTCAGTTACTTTATCGACATTCACATATGAATTACTAATGCAGTAAACAGGCGTTGCGATTCATGTATAGTCCAATATTTATGTCAGTTTCCTTGTTCTTTCAATCATGATATATATTTGAGATTAGTCAGGTATGTAATGACAATGGTAAAAGAGCAAACTATCTTTCCGTCGTAAAACAACATTTTTCGGCATCCCTTTAGGACATAAAACTATTATGCATTTTACTACGTAAGATATCGGGTGAGACTTAAATACGTAATAAATACTCTCTGTCTCTCTGTGGCTCTGTCTCTGTCTCTCTCTCTCTCGCTCTCGCTCTCTCTCGCTCTCGCTCTCTCTCGCTTTCTCTGTGCATTTTATTTTAAACTGTAAAACAGGATTATTAATTTCATGTTGCTGTAGGGATATGTTTCACTGCGACCCGACGGTACTCCACAGAACTTCCCGTCGATGACGTCAACATTGACGTCACGCAGTTGCAATCGGCCATGCAGAAGGAGAATCCGTATCTCATAGACATCCGGGAACCCCAAGAGCTTGTTGAGAGCGGAGGTATCCCTGAGGCACTAAACATACCATGTAAGTATTGGTTAAAGTTGCCTTGATGTTTTTAGGTTGCTATTCTTGAAAATTATTGGCATGATCAAATTGTACATGTGATATTGTAATATATAGATGAACTTTTTCTTAACTCGTCACAGCGCCCATACATATATTTGTACTTGACTCGTTTGAACAGAGGTTTACTGTATTTCACTAATGAATGTATGAATGATATATTCTCTGGTGGATTAAGTGTGAGTGAGTTATTATTTAACGTCACATCGGCAATATTGCAGCCATATCGTGACGAGAACATGGTGGATTAAGTGAGTGAGCGAGTTTAGTTTTACGCCACACTCAGCAATAGTCCAGCTGTGGTCTGTAAATAATCGAGTCTGAACCAGACAATTCAGTGATCAGCATCGTTCTACGCAATTGGGATACAATGACCTGTGTCAACCAAGAGAGCGAGCCTGACCACCCAAGTCGCCTCTTTCGACAAGCATCTTACAGTCACGGTCTGACAGTTTTATAATTTTAGTGGCATGTTCCTGAGGAAAATGTATTCCGTAAACGTATGTGTGGAGATGTTGCCCCGTTTTAAAATTAATTAGATAAGGTTACGACATAGCTGGGACAATATGATGTATTTCATGATGAAATAAAGTTCGCATTTTAAAGCATTGCACGTTCTAACGTTGGCGGTGTGCTAGGGTAGCCTAGTGGTTAAAGCGTTCGCTCGTGAGACCAAAGACCCGGGTTCGTGGATGCAATGTGTGAAGTCCATTTCTGGTGTCGCCCGTCGTGATATTGCTGGAATATTGCTAATAGCGGCGCAAAACCAAACTCTCTCAGTAACTCCAACGTTGACGTTTCTGGTTGTTACACGTTACTACGGAAGTATATGAGTGAGTGACAAACTTTCTTTCGGGCTGGGGAATTTGCGAACGGTGCTGATCAGCTGGGCGTAAAACTTTCATCGTTTCTTTTCAAGCACAATAACTTGACATCTATATTCCGTCGTGATGGAATATTGCCAAAAGCGGTGTAAACCTAAGCTCAGTCACTCCATCTCCGATCTCTCCATTCAGGGGCAGTGGGGTAGCCTAGTGGTTAAAGCGTCCGCTCCTCACGCCGAAGGTCCGGGTTCGATTCCCCATATGGGTACAATGTGTGAAGCCCATTTGATGTGTCCCCACCGTAATATTGTTGGAATTTTGCTAAAAGCGGCGTAAAACCATACTCACTCACTCACTGTTTGTGAGAAAGGTTCATACCGTTAGTGAAGCCTGAGTAAAAAATCACACACCACTAGGGCATTTACCTCATTATACGTATCCAACAAAGGCGACAGAACATTTATGTATTTATCAAATTATTGGTTTCCTTGACTGTTGTATGACCCCAGAGCTTTAGGTAACCTACAGCAACGTCGTATGGGATCTCGGTCTCGTATTACTATACCACGTTGGTATTGTTTACCGAAATTCGAGCTTGGAGACGGACAGTGATATGTTTTGTCTTCACCTTGTTGCCATGTTTACAGTAGGGGAACTAGAGTCTGCTCTCGAGATGGCGCCTCATGCTTACAAGAGCTTGTATGGAAGAGAAAAACCGGATGCAAACAAGACGACGCTTATACTTTTCTGCGCTCGGGGCAATCGGAGCTACCGGGCGGTGATGATGACACGAGAACTCGGATTTAAGAGGTGAGGTTTGTATACTGAAGTTTAGCTGTTAGCTCACCAAAGTTCAGGTAAGCTTACCGTCAGTCATCTTCTCGAGTTGGATTTTACTCCACCTTTAGCAATATTCTACCAATAGGAGGACGACACCAGAAATGGGCTTTACACATTTTGTTTATGGGGGAACCCGGGACGACCCGCTTAAGTCACTAGACGAAATATGATCACATTATTTTTACTTAATCATTAGCTTTCTTGATACAACTTTGAAGGAACCTCCTTCTTTGCTTAAACATTAGTGATGATTTGTTCCTTGAATCACCATTACCCACACTCAACCTCCACCATAATTATTGTTGACGATGTTGCAAAATGACATCTGGGTTTTTTACCATCGTTTATGAATTGATCTTTGCTAACGAGCACAGATTGTTTGTTTTGTTGTTTAATGCCGCAATACTTTGTAAATACTCGTGTATCGACCAGACAATCCTGTGATGAACAGCATGAGCATCGATGTACGCAATTGGGATACGATGAAACGTGTCAACCAAGTCAGCGAGTCTGACCACTCAATCACGTTAGTCGCCGACGATGGTCGTACACTAAGTGTTCAGCCAACTGTAATCAAATGACGTTTATAAGATGACAGTCCTAATGGATGATCAGTCCCAGTAGATCATAACCGCTGCTGCAAACAAAATCCGCAATCAAAAGTGTTTAGTCTCTGTTCGGCCCGACTTGGCCCGTGATGTCAAAAACAACTTAAAACTCACAGATGTATCTTGAAATGTGTTTATATCCATAGATTAGTATTATATCTACCTACATATCACTTCACAGAGTCTAGAAGCGTAGTATTTGAAGCAAATACCTTGCTCAAAGTGAAGTCCTATTTTCTATACAAAGACACAATATCACAAGTCTTTGGTCCGGCTTGGCCCGGGTGCTCAAACGCGCCTTATACCTCAAAGATGTATCCTGATTTGTGTTTAAATCCATAGATTAGTATTATATCTACCTAAATAACAATGCGTGATGTTACAAAATGCAATATAGCCTCAATCAAAAGTGTTTAGTCTCTGTTCAGCCAGACTTGGCCCGTGCTGTCAAAAACACCTTAAACCTCACAAATGTATCCTGATTTCTCTCTATATCTCTAGAATAGAGTCATATCTACCTAAGTACGTCTTTATAAAGTCTCAAAGCGTTGTATTTGAAGCAAACACGTTGCTTAAAGTGAAGCCTTATTTTTCTATACATTCTCAACAACCACACAGTATCACAGTCATGCTTTCGGTCCGGTTTGGCCCGGGCTCTCAAAAACAAATTAAACCCCACACATATGTCCTGATTTGTGTTTAATTCCATAGATTAGTAGTATATCTACCTAAATATCAATGTGTGATGTTACAAAATGCTATATGTAAAGATAACTAGTGAGGCCCTTTTCTCTCCATTCACAATATACTTGGCTAATGTTTATCTTAGATATTCTAGATAACTGTGGATAAACACTGCTGTCCTCAATTACTGAATGTAATCTCATTCGCAACTATCAATTTTGCAGACATATGACTTGCTGTGAAATAGCTATGGTAACGGATGTTTGCAAAAACGTGATCAAAGTCTGTCTCACCACAGGTATCTATGACAAACTAATCAAACGAATAAAGTCGATAACATATGGTTCACACAAAGAAAAAAAGGAAACCATGGTACACTGAAAATAGGCCAAATCATCCGCTACTTTTGTGGTTGTTGCAAACTATATTTGATTTACACTGCTTAAATAGCTTTTAAATGTACCATCAAATCTCTTATAAATTTAAGTTTTCCGTAAGTTTACCAAACAAAACGTAAATAATCTTCAGGTTCCATATTCTTTCAATTAGGTTTCCGTTTTCCTGAAATTAATTTTATTTTATATCACAATATCTTTTATTTGAATTCTGATGTAAAGAAACACTGACATCACGAAACTAAACCCTATATAATACATAGGCAGTTTAACGTAGGTTAATGTAAGTTTCTGGATATATGCATATGGAGTCAAATATATTTTTCTACGAACGTTTCATTCAAGTTCTCACTAATATAAACCATCAATGGTGGTTTCCAGTTGCTTTATGCAATGGAAACTAACAATGATACATTACTGTCAGTTTCCATTTCTGGAAACTAACCTTGTTTGTTTCCGACAGTTTTCAGTCGCTGAAACTAACCGTGTTAGTTTCAGCAACAGGAAACTGCCGGAAACAAACAATCATAGTTTCCGTGAGCGGAAACCTACATGATTCTGGCATTACCCAGTTTCATGTAGGTTTCCGGAAATCTGGAAACCCTGTTATTTTTGCTGTGTATAGTCTCAATCAAAAGTGTTTAGTCTCTCTTCAGCCCGACTTGGCCCGTGCTGTCAAAAACAACTTAAACCTCACACATTTACCCTGATTTGTGTTTAAATCAATAGATTAGTATTATATCTACCTAAATATCACTTCACAGAGTCTCAAAGAGTAGAATTTGAAGCAAAAACGTTGCTGAAAGTGAAGCCCTATTTTCTATACATTCTCAACAACCACACAACCACACAGTATCACAGTCATGCTTGGCCCGGGCTCTCAAAAACAACTTAAACCTCACACATATGTCCTGATTTGTGTTTAATTCCATAGATTAGTATTATATCTACCTAAATATCAATGTGTGATTTTACAAATGTCACATGTAAAGATAACTGGTTCGTTAAAGTGAAGCCCTTTTCTCTCCATTCACAACATAGCCTCAATCAAAAGTGTTGATAATTGGTGTAAACGTTGGCGTTTAACTATTAATAAGAAGAAAACTAATGTCGTTCATTACCGACCCTGTTGTTTCAATAGATCACAAATTGTATTCAAAATTGGTGATGTTACTATTGACTACACCAGTGCGTATAAGTATCTGGGCGTTTGGTTGCAGGAAAACATTGATATGAAGTTTACAGCTAAAGAAATCGCTAAATCGGCTAGACGAGCACTTGGTGCTATCATGTGTAAATTCAGATCTTGTGGTGGTTTGGCTTATAATGTCTTAATACTTTATACAATAACCTTGTCCAGCCGATCTTATCCTATTGGTCAGCCATATGGGGCACAAAACAATTCAATTGTATAAATGCAGTACAAAACAAGGCCTGTAGATTCTTCCTGGGCGTTGGCAGTAAGACTCCAACTCTAGCGGTCCGTGGAGAGATGGGTTGGACAACTCCATTTTCTAAACAAAAAATTGAAATTGTGCGGTTCTGGAGTAAGCTGAGAATACCTAGTGCTGTATGCAGATGGTCTAATACTTTTCCAAAATCCTGGAATAAAATTGTTGTAAATATTCTTAACAAATTGGATCTCCCCGTGGTTGACCTATATAATATGTCTAAAATGGAATTTTATTACGCCTCACTGTGGATACGATCATTAGATTGTCAGGACTGGAATAAAGAACTTTGGAACGACCGAGGGAAACCTAACGGGAATAAACTCCGTACTTACAGAAAGTTTAAGAAACTATTAACAGCTGAACCATATGTCACTGAACTTCTGCCTAGATCTCATCGCAGTACACTTAGCAAGTTACGATGTGGCACCTTACCCCTTGAAATAGAGGTCGGTAGATTTACACGCCCTAAAACACCTTTAGACGATAGAATTTGTAAATGTTGTCATGGCAATTCCATTGAGGACGAAGTTCACTTTTTGGTCAGCTGCCCACTATATTCGGATTTACGATATGATTTGTGGGAAAATGTACTAAATATTAACCTTTTTTTTCTCTCTCTTGCCACCTTCCGACCAGGCCAAATATATGCTAGGTAATGTTAAATTAATAAAACCCTTAGCTGCATTAGTTACTAAAATGTTTAATAGACGTAAACGCACTTTGTAGTCATGTAATTAAATATACCACACTCCACTGTTGCTTAGAGAATTGTGAGATTCTATTCTGTTTTAGGTAGAATGTAGTGGCTTGTGTCTCACAGGCCAGATGTTATATTTAGAGTCTTATGGTACAACATGTTAAACTGACTGACTGACAGAGTTTGGTTTTACGCCGCTTTTAGCAATATTCCAGCAACATCACGGCGGGGGACACCAGAAATGGGCTTCACACATTGTGCGCATGTGGGGATTCGAACCCGGGTCTTCGGCGTGACGAGCCAACGCTTTAACCACTAGGCTACCCCACCGCCCCTACAACATGTTAAACACAAATTATAACACTCTTTCTTCTTGGTAACCATTTGTAAACGCAGTTTGTAGTCATGTAATTAAATATATATACCACACTCCAATGTTGCTTACAAAGCTGTGATATTTTATTTACTACTATACTGTTTTAGATATAATATAGTGCCTTGTGTCTCTTAGGCCATATGGCCGGATGTTATATTTTATTGAATGTTTTAAAGTTTATGTATGTTTTATGTATAACATGTGACACAAAAATAAAAATAGTTTCTTCTTCTTCTTCTTCTGATAATCCTGTTTTCCTGAACACGCATACAGACAATAGAAGTATTAGAGAGAGAAGTGGGAGAAGTATGTTTTCATTAAATCCACAGTGTCTCGCCTAACTGGCCGAGCTGGGCAGTAGCAGCCTATTTTCAAATCATCTGATCTTTACATGTTGCATTTGATAACATTACAAGGTGATATTTAGGTAGATATAATACTAATCTATGGATGTTAACACATTTCAAGATACATCTGTGAGGTATAAGGTGCGTTTGAGCGCCCGGGCCAAGCCGGACCGAAAGCTTGTGATATTGTGTCTTTGTTGAGAATGTATACAAAAATAGGGCTTCACTTTGAGCAAGGCGTTTGCTTCAAATACTACGCTTTGAGACTCTGTGAAGTGAAATGTAGGTAGATATAATACTAATCTACGGATTTAAACACATTTCAAGATACATGTGTGAGGTTTAAGTTGTTTTTGACACCACGGGCCAAGTCGGGCTGAAGAGAGACTAAACACTTTTGATTGAGACTATATTGTGAATGGAGAGAGAAAAGGGCTTCACTTTAACGGAGCAGTTGTCTTTACATGTGGCATTTTGTAACATCACACGTTGATATTTAGGTAGATATAATACTAATCTATGGATTTAAACACATTTCAAGATACATCTGTGAGGTATAAGGTGCGTTTGAGCGCCCGGGCCAAGCCGGACCGAAAGCTTGTGATACTGTGTCTTTGTTGAGAATGTATAGAAAATAGGACTTCACTTTGAGCAAGGTGTTTGCTTCAAATATTACGCTTTGAGACTCTGTGAAGTGAAATGACGGTAGATATAATACTAATCTATGGATATAAACACAAATCAGGATACATGTGTGAGGTTTAAGTTGTTTTTGACAGCACGGGCCAAGTCTGTCTGAACAGAGACCAAACACTTTTGACTGAGGCTATGTTGAAAAAAGTGAGACAAGGGCTTCACTTTAACGGAGCAGTTTTCTTTACATGTTGCATTTTATAACACTACAAAGCGATATTTAGGTAGATATCATACCAGTCTATGGAATTAAACACATTTCAAGATACGTGTGTTACGTTTAAGCTGCTTTTGACGGCTCGAGCCAAGCCGGGCGGAAAATTGTGGCCGAGATAATGTTGAGAGTGTGGGGAAGAGATCGTATCATTTAAATGTGGGCATGCTTTAAATACGATGAATAGTGAATTTATGGGGTGGTATGTGATTGGATATAGATCTAAAATCATTTTCGGGCCGACGGAAATGTGTATCGGAATTGGCTGAAGTATTTATACGTATTAAATCCCGTTTCGTTTAACGATTCCACTTATATACGTAACCTAGGTCAGCCAGTTCACAGGCTTCTCGTCTTCCTGGGTTTTAGCCGATTTACTCGTAATAAAGTTATTATGGTACGCGTTTGTGGCTTCCGATTGATCATTATTATCATGAGTGTATGTTGCATTGATTAATTGTAGGCATTGTTTTGGTTAATGGGTTTATTAGCCCATAATAGATTTGGCCCGCCTTGGCCCGGCCCGGCCCGACTTTTAGGCCATCCCATTGACTTCCTTATTTTTTTTCAGTCATGATGTTTTACCACTGGCAGATGATTAAACTTCAAACTGTTTTCATTTGTTATAATACAAATGAAGATGGAAATATTATCGAGTAAAAAAAGATTTCATTTTGTTGATCAATCTATACCTATACGATCATTTGCGCATGCGCAAGGCGCAGCAAAGGTCACGAATCCATTGAAAATACTGGGATATCGTCCGGGTGCTCAGGGGAGAAAAGCAATAACAAAAGCAACAACCAGTGCGCGGAAATTGCTCTGGATCAGTGCCTTGTTAAATGTGTTCATCATATGATTGTTTTAATCATGTTTTTTACACGGTCGGCTTCCGTGTGTGATGTGTTCACTTCCATCAACCACCAGCTCATAATAACACGTCACATGAGATTAGCCATGTGCTAAAATAACACACAAACTTCAAAGCCTAACCCTTGTCAACGTCCTGAGCCTTATAAAAATTGAAAGGTCGGCTTCCTGAGTCGACATCTCAAACTATTTTCATGTAAGTGGTAATAATTCCTGAGCATTAGAGAACAATTGGCTTGTTTGGAATTTAATGCTTTTCATAAACTAGAATCTCATAAACTATTTGTCTCTGGAATCATTTGTGATATGAACTTATGTAGTGATTTCTCTAGAAATTATTTAACGTTATCTAAAATTAAACATTTAGTCACCTTTTATTGTATATGACCAAATTAATAGTTACACTATAAAGATTTTAAGAAGGAATTCATTTGGGTTCTTTTTGCCTCAGTCCGCCCGTTTGTGGACAATATAACCAATTATCTATTATCAAGTTCATGATATTTCGTGAATACACCAACTGCATAACACCGTCTCTGACCACAAACCCAAATGGGTTGTTCTCTATTCGCCTACAGTCTTAAAACAACAGTCTTGACTGTTGATTTCTGCAATGATAAACCACCCAAACGGTCCATCCCTTGTGACAGGTGTTAATTAGAGGTTACCATGAAAGAATGTATTCTACTACAATAAACCTATTATTCCCTGGCAAGGGTTCACTTTTATGACATGTAATAAACCCTGTCCAGTTAGTCAGTGGGTCCGGTAAACTTTTATTTAATCAATGATGTAACGTAGGTCTATGTAATTTATGTTTATGCAAACCGTGACAGGTCAAAACTATTTGCACTTCTGTGGATAATAAGTAAAACATACACTTAAAACGGTATTTTGGAAAATGCTAGCCATATCAGGGCAAACATGACAGTCAATAACAATTTTTAACACCTAGAACATCAAAGATGCAGACGAGTGAAGTTATACCAGGGATAATCTACAACGTCTTATAGTCTCCCTGGTTATACTAATATATAGAATTGGTTCCTAGTTGATCGCATAGGAGGACGAATACACTCCTAGGAGGACGAATACACAGTCTATACACTCATGGGGATCCTTGGGAAAAGGAGAAACTGAAAGAAGTAGTGGTAAAATCCTTCCTAAATTTCCAAAAATTTCCAAGCCTTGGAAACATCATGTTTCCAATTTTGGAAATTTTTGGAAATATGATATTTCCAAATTGGAAATTTTTGGAAATCACCATTTTTTTTCTTGTGCTGGTTACATGTCACACCAAAGTTCTCTAAAAATACATAATGCATTTCTAAATGATAATAACTAGCACTCAGGGAAGCTACCATATACTATACTCCAGAAAACTACGTATTTAGATTGCAATATTAAATAAAAAAAGCTCGAAGGAATGAATGCAACGTTGCATTTAATCGACTCTCACGCTCTCTGTCAGCCGAACATTATTTCAAGCGAACTCCCTACATTTATGTCACTCTTAGGTGACTTATGGAGGCTCTTTACAAATATCTTACAAGGCACCTAGTGATTGAAGCCAGTTCGGCAAACACCCACAACACCGCTTGCGACAGTTTTCGATGTACGAAACAGTCTTTTATATTCCATATATGGCAAATATTATCTATTTGGAAAGCTGTTCTCCTCATAGTTTCAATCATCGATTTCAGGCAAGTCGTAAGGGATAATAAGTCTTTTATTGCATCAACAGGAGGCTTAAGTGTGTGCATTTGCCCCCAATATATAAAATATAGGTCAAAATATTGTCGGAAATATATGTGTGACATTGTGCCTTTAAGGAGTTGTTGAATTATTGGTTTGCAGCCTGACGTAAAACAATAAAGGGTACATTTGAGGAAATAGATAAATAACGATCGCAGAGGAGTATGTCACATCAGGGATTGTTCGATCGTGTTCTAGACACAGAGCGAGCAGCCTCGATTTTAGAAATCGGACAACTTGGCCTCTCCGCCCAGGCTGTTCATTGAGTGTTCCGTTTGTTATTTGTGTCTTGTTTGTCGGTTGGGGGAGAAAATTGGTATTCTTTGGGGTGAAGGATAACAACCTCCTGTATCACTTTCGTTGTCAGTATAAATAAAGTTCTACCGCCTTGATTCACCTTTGAGAAAAATATGCACCGAAAGGCGCCTAAATTATTTGTACAGCCTTTGGCAAAACGAGTTTTGAATTATGGTTCTGTAGTAGTGGGTACGGTGGGGTAGCCTAGTGGGTAAGGCGTTCGTTCGTCACGCCGAAGACCCGGGTTCGATTCCCTACATGGGCACAATGTGTGAAGCCCATTTCTGGTGTCCCCCGCCGTGATATTGCTGGAATATTGCTAAAAGCGGCGTAGAACTTCACTCACTCACTCATTCACCCACCCACCCACAAACTCACCCACCCACCCAAACCCACTCACTCACTCATTCACTCACTCACTCACTCAGTGTAGTAGTGACCAAACTTCAGTTCCATCGTGGTGAACACCGCTTTTTGTAACACATTCCACGAGCAGTAAGGGGTAATTGTGTTTCTATGGATCACTGGGCCCCACTGAAGGCAACGCATAATTGCAAATTCCTTTGATTGAAAACGACGTATTCCGAGTGCATTTATATTTTTATTTTCATATAAACCCAGTTGAGCGTGAGACATAGTTTTCTCGTGAGAGCGAGACATGCTTCAGTGAGTGAGTATGGTTTTACGCGGCTTTTAGCAATATTCCAGCATTATCACAGCAGGGGACACCAGAAATTCGTGAGTGTTAGCAGGCGTGAGTGTTAGCAGGAACGCCAATGTCATGGCGTGGCATTTGTCATTCAGATGAGTATGTACATCATCATCACATTTTCGTTTTCAAACTGCAATGGCTTACTGGTTTCTGATGATGAAGCCGTATTTGTTCATGGTTTTAAAGAATATTGGTATTCACTGTTTACATATGGTCTCTTTTGTTGCAGGAGCTGGCATTTAGTAAAAGGATTCAACTACTGGAAGGAATGTCAGGGTATGGATTGAAAGCGTTACCATGACTACCATATATTCTTTGGTATATGAGCCAAGGCCGAAGAATCTCAAATCTCGAATCTCAGCCATGACAAGGATCAATGTGTTCTACATAAACCTTTCTATATGATTTGTGTCTGTCCGTGTTTCATTGAGCGTCGTCTATACAATAGTTGAAACGGTGTAATGTTTATTTAGGTGTTTAGCCATGTTGTCGATTCTTCGATTAAATGCGTCATGCTTGTCAGATACTAGTCCACATGCAAGTTGGAGCAAAGCGACTTTGAATTTCAGACTGATTTTTAAATCGACTGACTGACTGACTGAGTTTTAGTTTTACGCCGCTTTTAGCAATATTCCAGCAATATCACGGCGGGGAACACCAGAAATGGGCTTCACACATTGTGCCCATGTGGGGAATCGAACCCGGGTCTTCGGCGTGACGAGCCAACGCTTTAACCACTAGGCTACCCCACCGCCCCGATTTTTAAATCGAAATGCAGTCCATCTGTATTGCGAAATTTAAGGGACTTGGTGGTGATGGTCGTGGTGATGATGGTGATGGTGGTGGTGTTGGTGGTGATGATGACGGTGGTGGTGATGGTGATGATGATGATGATTGTACATGCCACAATTTCCAATTCCTTGCCATAATGTTGAAAAACTGCTTCCGTGGTCAAGTGGCTAGACAATCTTCCCGGTGAGCGGAAGATCTCTTCGAACCCCTGGCCGCGTCACACCAAAAGACGATATGATATGCTACTTGTTGTTTCCCTGGTTGACACAGCAGGGAGAAAACATGGATTGGCCAGCTTCTGGCTCCCATATTGTGACAGAGTATGGTAGACATTTACACTGTGGTGGGGCGGTGGGGTAGCCTAGTGCTCAAAGCGTTCGCTCGTCACGCTGAAGACCCTGGTTCGATTACCCACTTGGGTACAATGTGTGAAGACCATTTCTGGTGTCCTCCGCCGAGATATTGCTGGAATTTTGCTAAAAGCGTTGTAAAACCATACTCACTCACTGCCTGACTATAGGACTGATGCGTGTCTCTCTGTGTTTCTGTGCGTGTCTGTATCATCTGTTTGTTTCTCTCTCGTGAAACGAGCTATGACAGTGGTGTGGGTGCGTAGGTGTGCAGTGTATGTGTATCTGTGTCAAATGCTTGTTTCTCTCTCGTTAAACACTAGACTACCCCACAGACCCTTATTTTGAAACAGCAGTGGTTACAAAAAAGTTGGATTTATTATATGTATCCCATAATGGTTACACCAAGTCATGTGTACGAAGTAGACTGTTTCATTGGTCAACCAAGATGTAATTCAATCACTGAAAAAAAACATATACACAAAGAACTTAATAAGCACACCCCTGTATTTTTGCAATGATAGGTTTTCAACACGTACATAAAATTTCTCGTGGTGACCACGATGGAAAAACATTAGTTTTTCTGACCCGTATGATCCTTGGACTCATAAAAAAAGGCCAAACTGGAATCCATGGTGACAATTGCTCATTTAAAAGCAAATAATTTTCATACAAAACCATGTCTGTACGCGTATGGCCTAGATTTCTTTGCTCTCTTAGCCCTCAGATAGTTAATGTTAATGCATGGCACTTACGGCTATCTTAGCGCTAAGAGAGCTTCGAAAATCTAGGGTTAGGATCGGGGCTCATTCAATCGTGGGATATGTCAGGTGAGGTGAGGTGAAATTGGGTTTAACGTCGTGCTTGAGAATATTTCGCTCACATGACGACATGCATGCATGTGTATGTGCGGCTGCTTGTACTAGCCCAGACTGAAGCTGGTTTTATAGTGCTAGCTCACTGAGATACCATGCCGCAGTGAAGCATGAATACCCCACTCAGACACATTATACTGACTCCTTGAACCTATTAATGCCGAGCGCCAGGCAGGGACCAACAAGTACCATATTTTAACGTCTTTTGGTATGACGCGGTCGGGGATCGAACCCGCGACCTTCCGCTCTCCTGGCGGACGCTCTAACCACTACACCACGGAGTTGGTCGGATATGTCAGGGGGGTTCGTAACTAAGTTACGTTAAGCTAAGTTAAATGTGAATATGTATTGAGACTGCCTGAAAACCTCGATTTCTGAGAAACTGGGTTGGTACCAGGCACCCCGTGTCGACCCTGTTTGTCAGTGATGCATTACATTTGAGGGTGGAGCCTCGCCCTGGTGGGTATGTTATTGCTATATTAACTTTCATTGCTTTATCATCTCGTTGTCCTGTATCTTGGAGCTTATAGCGTTTTTATAAGTTGACGTAGATTGGAGTCACGCTTTATGATTGTGCAGTGTACCAAGTCAAGCATGATGAGAGAACTGAGGCTGATGTCGCGATTATCTTCAGGGTGGATGCGGTCAATGAACCACAAGCAATGCGACACACCTCTTACAGTATAAGATTGTGTGGTGGTGGTCTGCGGTCCTGTGCATATACTCACAAATGAGAAGTTAAGCAGCTTTGGCCGCGGAGAGTCCTTGATTGGGAGAGAGAGAGAGAGAGAGAGAGAGAGAGAGAGAGAGAGAGAGAGAGAGAGAGAGAGAGAGAGAGAGAGAGAGAGAGAGAGAGAGAGAGAGAGAGAGAGAGAGAGAGAGAGAGAGAGAGAGAGAGAGAGAGAGAGAGAGAGAGAGAGAGAGAGAGAGAGAGAGAGAGAGTTCAGATCCTAAAGGGATGCCGAAAAATGTTTTACGACGGAAAGATGGTTTGATGGTTAACTGTCTATTATGACATTTAGCTATCTACCTTTACCTAATTACCTATAATCAAGCACGGCGATATATATCATGAAGCTGTAGATATATGTGCTGAAAATTGACATACGACATACATTGTGTTAACTGTCTATTATAACATTTACCTACATACCTTTACCTAATTACCTATAATCAAACACGGAGATATATATCACGAGGCTGTATGCATATGTATATATATATGTATATATATATATATATATATATATATATATATATATATATATATGCGCGTGTGTGCGTGTGCGTGTGTGTGTGTGTGTGTACCCGGCAATGTTTACTTTCCCACAGTGCATCCGTGGAATGTCGCGTGACTAGTCAGCTTCATCTGGTTGTACTAATCTAAACTAACGTTCGTAGTGGGAATGCAACGTTCATATTGCCCCATATCGTTTACGCTAATCACAGATGAAATTAAAATACTTTACAGAAGATATTTTACCCGACCTTCCAACGTCATCAAACTGTTTGTCATTTGTTTTTCTGATAACGTACGCCATAACCTAAGGGGCAGTCACGTCAATAGAACAGCCCGTAAGTTTAGCCCTGAGCGAGGATGGTTAAATTAGGTCACTGACACCGTCGTGTTTCTGTTTGTTTTCTGCCTTATATCATCGGCAAGTATTAAATCTGGCATCTTAGAAAAGAAATACAGTTCGCTGTACCCCCATGTATAGTGTAATAAAGTACACTTTCGCCCTGAACTATTATAACGTAAGCAAGCGTCCTCGTACTTTAACTAAATCACAGTTGAAGTAGCATTCAACAGAGGTCTCCAGTTTCAGTGGTAAAGCTAACACAAAGAAGACAGGGTTTCAGCATCGCCTCATTCTGATAGGTTTAATCGCGACATGCTAAAAGTAGATCGGATTCGCTGAAGCCGCAAGTGGCTGTGACAGGTACCCAGTGACATTCCCCCAAGTCCCCGTTTTAGTTAACACAGCATACATGACGGGTGGATACAGGATTTTGGAGAAGTCTCAAGGTTAGGGGAAATGCTCCCCAGGAGCACCCCCGCACCCCTTTCTTGATCCGCCTCTGCATTATATAGCAGATCCTATGCTGAGGCGATGGCGTGTATTCTGTTAACGTCATGCGCGTATAGAATGTTGTTGGTCCCTGCCTGGCGCTCGGCATTAATGGGTACAACAAGGACTGGTCGGCTCGGAGTCAGTATAATGTGTCTGAGTGGGGTATTCATGCTTCACTGCGGCATGGTGTCTCAGTGGGCTAGCACTATAAAACTACCTTCAGTCTGGGCTAGCAGCCGCACATACACATACACACGCATGCATGTCGTCATATGAGCGAAATATTCTCAAGCACGACGTTAAACCCAATTCCACCACCACCACCGCGTATAGAACTTCAATGCACAGCATCAACTGTCCTTGCGAACCGCTTTCATTTGGTGTATTGAGCAAAACAGCTGTGCACATTTTAATATTAAATTGATTACTGAAAATTCCTGGTGACACCAGGTGATCAAATACAGTAAGCATAAGTGATGCCCCCGTTCTCAGCAACCAGCCTGACGATTTATGCTATGTCTATGCGGCTAAACTAGGTCATTTTGAATTTTTGTCAATATCAATGACAGGGTGGACTCCCTGTTTTGTGATGAAACAGGAGTCTGTTGTGTTGAGGTGTGCGCAGGGATTGCTGTAGGTGTCGGGGCAAGGCGGCAAAGGGTGGGGGTGGGGGATTATTGGAACGATGTTTTCAAGTGAACTAAGCTAAGAGGTGTGAAACACACTGACACAAGATTGAAATACACACCCGATGCTCATGCTGTTGATCACTGGATTGTCTGGTCTAGACTCGATTATTTACAGACCGCTGCCATAAAGCTGGAATATTGTACACAATGCACTAAACTTTTATTAATGTTGTCATAAACTTCATTTATTAAAGGGGCGGTGGGGTAGTCTAGTGGTTAAAGCGTTGGCTCGTCACGCCGAAGACCCGGGTTCGAACCTCCACATGGGTACAATGTGTGAAGCCCATTTCTGGTGTCCCCAGCCGTGATGTTGCTGGAATATTGCTAAAAGCGGCGTAAAACCAAACTGAGTCAGTCATTTATTAAAAATACAGAAACATAAACACTTTCAATTTCGATTGACATTCTTTTCTTGAAAAAGAACGAACAATACTTGAAACAATATTCCAAATATTCTTGAGTGAGAGTTAAGATTTATAGTCACATAGGCAATACTTCACCCATATCGTGATTTAAAAAGTTATAAATTGATAATAAATGGTATTAAATTAAAAAAAACCTGTCGACGAAGGACAGTTTAATAACTAGATCATCACAGATAGAAACGTAAAACCAGTAATCAAATCT